ATGTTTGACTCAAGACTGCCAAAGGGCATGTGGCTTCTAGGCTTAGCTGCTGCAGTTTACACTTACAATAGGACTCCACATAAATCAAACCATATGATAATTCCTTTAGAAAGATTCGCACCTGATCACAGCTTTGATGTTAATCAAATCAAAAGATTCGGTAGTCGAAGTTATGTAAAAATTGCTAGAAATGCTGGGCCAAAGTTTGGACCTTGAGGTGTGGGTATGGTCTTGGTTGGATATACTCCAACAGAGTATCAACTCTTAAAGCCAGAGCTAGAAAAATATTATGAAAGTAGACATGTTAAATTCAATGAAAAATTAGTGTATGGGGATAAATACAAGGGAAACGGCATCAAAGATTTCCCAGACTATGGAGAAATGGAGAATAAAGATGAATGGTTTGTTGAGTTCGAAAAGAATCGAGATGAGGCCGAGGATTCTTCAAAACCGGAGGGAGAGATAAAACGCAAAAGAGGTAGACAAAGGAAAGAAGTTTCAGAACAAAATAATACCAAGAAAGTGAAAACAGTTGATATAAAAGATAAAACAATAAATGATAACAGCTTTTCAGAGTTGGAAATTGATGAGAACGTGAAAGGAAATGTTTTCTTCACTAGTGTTATCAGTAATATAGGCGAGATAGATTTAGCACAATAGGAAGATGAAGTGTATCATGCACTTTTATCAAGCATAAATGAAGATCCCTCAAATTATCGAGAAGCTATAAATAGTAAAAATAAACATTCTTGGTTAAATGCGGTAGATGAAGAATTGAACTGATTAGAAAGAAATCAAGTATGGAAAATTGTTAAAAGACCTCTAAGTATGATGAATGGAAAAAGATTAAATGTCATTGATTCAAAATAGGTTTTTAAGTGTAAAAATCAGGCAAATGGAAAAATAAGATTCAAGGCGAGACTAGTAATCAGAGGTTTCAAGGATAAGAACATTTATTAATTAAGGGAAACTTATGCTCCAGTAGCTCGTTTACCTTTGGTGAGAATAGTTATATCAATTATAAACAAATACAATCTAGAGGTGTATCAACTAGATGTTAAAACTGCTTTCCTCAATGGTGTGATAGATGAGAAAATTTACATGGAAATTCCAGAAGGAATTGATCATACTGACAAAGATAGGCGAGAAAATGTGTGCAAATTGGAGAAAGCACTTTATGGTCTTCGTAGCAGTCCTAAACGGTCGAATGTAAAATTCACCGAAGTAGCTTTGAGTATGGGTCTGCAGAACTCGGATTTAGAACCTTGTTTATTCACTTGGTGAGATGAAGACAAGTTCTTGCTTGTGCTACTTTATGTAGATGATATGTTGTTGGCGAGTAATGATAACAATAAATTGGCTGAAGTAAAGAGTAATTTATGTAGCGAATTTGAAATGACAGTCCTGGGAGAACCCAAGGAATTCCTGAGCATGACTATTAGGCGAGACAAAGAAAATCAGATTATTAAATTAAATCAGGAAAAATATATTCAAAAGATATTGAGTAGGTTTGGCTTTGATAAAGCACATCCACAACGTACACCAATGAATACTTCTCAAGTAGCTAATAATGAGAGAAAATTAAGAGAAACAGAATATGATAATGGGACTTTGGAAAGGACAGAAACAAAAGCAAACATCCCTTATAGAGAGGCTGTAGGTAGGTAGTCTTTTGTACTTGGCTGGTGCTACGAGACCAGACATTGCATATGCAGCCAATGTGATAAGTAGACATCAAGTAAATCCTAAAGAAAGTAATTGGGAAATTGTAAAAAGAATTTTTCGGTATCTGAGAGGTACTACGGGCTTGGGTCTGAGATATTCAGGTGAGACTAATGACATTCAGGGTTATTCTGATGCGAGTTTCTCTGATTGTAAAGATTCAATCACAACTTTGTATTTGTGATTAGACTGGTGATTCGATCATTTGGCGAACTCACAAACAAACTACAGTAGCACTTTCTACGTGTGAAGCTGAGTATGTTGCAATGAGCGAGGCGAGTCAAGAAATGATGTCGTTGCATAACTCTTTGAAACTAATACTGGTTGATCCCCCTGTTCCAATGATCTTAAGGTGTGATAATAAATCTGCTATTGTTAGTGCAGAAACAAATGGAGGAATGAAATTGAGACACATTGTAGAGAACAAATTACATTATGTAAAGGAATGTGTTAAAAAGAATTATATAAAAATCATTTGGATTGGCTCAAGGGATCAGCTAGCTGATGTTTTCACCAAACCATTGGCGTTTGAAACACATGAGCGTTTGATGGACCTAATAATGAACGTAAATATTTAAATTACTTTCTTTCTGTTTGTCTAGGAAATAACTAATTTGGCGAGACCTTCTTGGAGAGATAAAATTGGCGAGATGGAAAACTGATGAGATTAAACTGACAAAATTACCTGGCGAGAATACTGAGGCGAGATAAAGTTACCAAATAAGAAACTTTGTGATGAACGAGAATATATTACCAGGAGACAAGAAGACTGGAGAGGACTCAAGGATACTGTCTATGGTGGGAGGGAGTATTCAATGTGGCGCCCTACGCCAGTCTCCTTGTTACTGACAGTGTGGCTGACTGTGTCGCCACGGCGCCGTTGTGCCTCTATGAGATATACTCGTACTATGTACCACTTGTGCCTCGACCATTATCGCGTTACGTTGTTAAATAAAACTTAATTACATTTACGATAATAAAACTGTGTTCAATCATTCTTTCAATCCTAAATAACCCTTCACTTTTATAGAGTTCAGGATTTGGCCACATCGAATAGAAGAAGAAGAAACATCTCATCCTTGATGCCTCTGTTCATGTTCCTCAAAACGTTTCTTCATTCTTGGAATGCGCACAATTAGATTCATCTGATGGACAGAAATGCTAGCTCCATTCAACGTAGACAAGAGTCTCAACGTAATATTTACATGAAATGTAATATTGACAACCGACCATACTTTGAATAATGAAAATTAGTATAAAATTCACACCCCTTGAAAAATTAGACCACGCCAACCTCTGTTTCTGCCACAAGTATGGCTATCGAATATCCATCAAATATTAGATTATATGGAGTAAAAAAACATGAATTTGTATTATAGGACTTTTGAAGTCATGCAGAGATGCAAAACATTGCTAAAATAACGATTTGTGATTTTTCACAAAAAAAGCGTTTTGGATGAATTGCTCTATGCCAGGATGTACTGAATCGATTGACGCAAAATTTTATACACGAATGTGGGCCAATCATGCAAACTAGTAGCCAAAATCTCCGATGTTTAGTCCATATTTAACGCGCATTATAGAGCCCATATTGGATTTTAATTTGAATAACTAGCAAAACGCTGATATCTCGAAAACTTTGTATGGGAGGGTATGCATATTTTGATTGATCTTGATAGAAGGCATCATGACAACTATTTTGAAAAAAAAAGTCAATCGGACTAGTAGTTTTGGAGATATTGAGCATTACAGTTTTTCACAAAAAGTTGAATATCTCCTAAACTACTCATCCGATTCAGCTCATCTACAATCGCATCCTGTAATATCATAAAAACTACAATCGTACCAAATTTCAACTTTCTATCTTAATTTTTCAGGGCGCTATCGTGTTCACAACGATTTTTTCATAAAAATGAAAAATGCCAATTATTACCAAACTGTCGATAGTTGCACGGTAATATTATGACTTGATCCGATAGATATTATCACGACGAAGATTTTGGCGTCAGATAAATTCAATTCGGTCATGTAGTTTTTACGATATTGAGGAACAAAGATTTTTGAGAAATTGCTGTATCTCGGAAACTACTGGGCCGATTGAGCTGAAACTGCGCCCAGAAATGCGCCAAAGTAATGCCAATTATGTAACAAAATTTCAGATTTTTAGCTGCAACTTTAGTCCTTTATTTGTCGTGATTTATAAAAAATTTCGAAAAAATCGACCCACACTTCCGGACACACATACACACATGGTCCTCAAACTTTGTATTTTTACATTTCAGACCATTCTACATCATTTCCAAACCAAATTGGAGAATCGAAAAATTGACCGATTACAAAGCTTCCATTCGGAAGCAAAAAACGAAGAATAGATCAAATTCGATGCCAAAAACAAAATTCGAAGAACATGGCACTGATTATTTCCTCATTTTGTGATAATTTGTGAAATGTCTCTAAAAATAAGTGTTGTGATTTTATTTATCTTGATGCATTAATCCATTTTGAAGTGGAATAAGAAGAATTTTAAAGGTTCCGAGGCATTACGAAATTGAGTTGACATTTTATTATATTTGACTTCGGCTGAGTGTTTTTAATGATTTTGTCCAAAAATTTTGTCCAAATTTCTTTTCACATGGATCAATAACTAACTCCAAATGCGGAAAATCTAAAGAAAAAAATTTATATTCCTTTTTCACTATCGTATTTCAACATGCTATTAAGCTAACCACGTGATTTCCCACTTCACATATTTTAGATATAACTTGATACTGATAACTGTGAAGTCGTGACAGTAGAAAATGTTCATTAAATTCCAGTAAAGATAACTCCATATGCAGTCGAACCTAAAACCACATATCAACGAGTGGTTCCCGTTTACAGTTTTTGAATTCTTTCGTTTATCGTGTTTCAATACGCTATTAAGATAACCACGTGATTTTCCACGGGATATCTTTTCCGTATAATGTACTTTTAATAACTGTGAAGTAGTGAGGAAGAAGCCAATGTTTATAAAATGCTAAGAATGATAATTTCATATTCAGTCGCAGCTAAGACCATATACCATTAAGTGGTTCCCGTTTTTGTAAGTGGAAACAATTCTTCCAAAGCCGCTGACTGAAAATTATAAAAATATGGGGAAATTCCTACTCATCTCGATTTGTATTCTTGCCTTAACATCATCAATCACTGCACACGAGTGGAATTACTGCCGGGACAATGGTAGTTTTGAAATTTGCCGGAGGTCCCATATAATCACAGTCTCATCCGTGAATCCAGCAATGAACAGTTTTCGCCTCATATTGGATGTGAGCGCTTCCTCTGCATTAGCTACGAAGACAATTCAAAGAATAAACGTTGCTGGGCTCAAGCTGCTTCATTCAGACCCGGAAAACTGCACTCCAACAGCTATCACGAGAACACCAAGAGTATTCTATGGTTTATGGGTGCGTGATAGGTTGACGCTGCAGTGTGTGAAGTTGGTAGTGCAACCTGAAAATTTTCAAAATTTTGTAGCAGTCAAAGATTTGTCATTAGTAAATGTTGAATTTACTGGAAATCTGCATGAATTTTTCACCTACTTCCGAGCGCTCAAAGTGTTGAAATTAATCGATCTGAACATCACAACTATATCTCCCACTGTATTATCTGGAATCGATGGAAAACTCGAGCAACTTATGATTGGCGGTGGAAAACGCGTTATCGAACCCAAATCTTTTGAAAAATTTCATCAACTGCAGAATCTCACACTCCGCAATTGTCAGTTAACTGATCTACAAGTTGATATCTTCGAGGGCCTCGAACAATTGCATTATTTGAATTTAGGGAGCAATGAAATTAGTGTTTTATGTAACGATACATTCAGTAAACTGACACAATTGAGTGAACTTCATTTAGATGACAACAGAATCAGTGAGATCCAAGCTGAGGCCTTTTCTGGATTGAATCTCCGAACGATCGATTTGCGCAATAATAGCTTAACAAGTGTACCCGTTGGGGTTTTTCGAAATCTATTGGATTTGGAGACTTTGAATCTCGGACTCAACAAAATCAGAACAGTGTCGTACAATGATTTTTGCGGATGCATTCAACTTCGATGGCTGAATTTGGATTATAACGAAATATACCATATAGACGCCAGTGCTTTTTGGGGTTTTAATTTCAACATTCTCGATTTGAGCCACAATAACTTGACTGTTCTAGATGATAATACGTTCATCGGCCTCACTGTCAGTGATTTACTAGATCTACGTGCCAACAATATCACACAAATTAAATCACAAGCATTCAACAACTTGTCTGCTAAGAAGGTCTTACTTTGTCACCACAATTCGACATACGTTGGTAGAGATAACTGGAGTGTGGAGGATACAATTACCGAGATCGCTATCTGTGATTGTACGAGTACTGAGTACTCGTAGTACTCAGTACTCAGGTATGATTTTAACAGAGGGCATTGTGTGTGCGAGACAGGTGGAAATATTCAAGCACCCATGGAATGGACATCACTTGAAAAAGTAATTGTTGAGATTTAGATAAATCATTTTTTAAGTAAATTTATGGTTCTTTTTTTTCATCTTTTATTATAAGAATCAACATTATAGCCTATAGTATTATTGAACTACTCTTAGGATATGATCAAGACTCGTATTGGGATAATTTGTTTACGACAAGAAAGTGCGTTCTCAAACCAAGTCTAGTAGAATCAACTTATTTAATAGTTAATCAGTCTCTGATCCAAACAAAAACCACTTGACTTGGTTTGGCAAGTCCCTTTCTTGTTATAAACCAACTGCCCTCATCTTTCGGATAAGTACGAAATCTCTTAACAAAATTTTTGTCAATATCCAAGCCAACATGGCATGGACATCACGTGAAAATGTAATTGTGATTTAGGTAAATCATTTTTAAATAAAATTTATGATTCTTGTTTTTTTCATAATTTTTATGGGCATCATCATTATAGTCTATCACAGTATTATTTAAGTACTTTGGGAATGATATGCTCAAGATTGTGATATTTGGACAATTTGTTTATGACAAAATAGTTATTTTGGTCACAAGGACGTACATTCGCCCGCCTGACGATATTATTTTTTTTCATATATTGCTGACAACTGTCAGCACTCTCATCTCAAAATTGAGCCATGGGGGGAACTGGTGGCGCGAGAAGGGATCCAGTGGACGGGGCGCCCTCCCCCTACTGGAAAAAGACTAACTAGTAAAATAAGAAAAACATCAAGACGAACAAGGGAATTGAAGAAGGAAATTTTTATTTCAAATAGATTTTTTAAAAATCTAGTTTATTTAAGAACTGCTATGGTTATAAAAAAAAAATTAAGCGACCGCAATCGTTTCACAAACTGATTTTTTTTTACATTTTTTACCTTTGTATTTACATTAGTTTGATTCAATCTCATGCATTTTTAAGCATGTTGGTTGCTTTCAAAAAAATTATGGTTTTTGTCACAGCCTTCTCTGGTGTTCAACAGTTTCTTCCACTCTATTGGTAGTGATCTTTCATTCCTTTCGGGTCGAAATTCTGGGTATTCTATGGAAAAGGGAGCCACCGTAAAGGGGGCATCAGATCTTCGACATTTTTTGTTCAAATAGATTGTTTTCAACAAAAAAAATGCAGATTATTGTGTTCGAATCCCGGCGCCGCAGAATTTTTTCCTCTATAAATTTTAATTCCCTTTGAATTTATTTGGTGCCTATTGGGGATTGATCAGGAGAATGACGTTCTAGAGAGTCAAATGGAAGAGATAGGTGGAGCAATCAAAACATAGGAAGGAAGTTTCTGATTTCCAGAACCAAGGCACTGAATTTAAAAGAAACGCGTCGTTATATTTCGCCAACAACTACCTGATGAAGTCCGTTTTTTATTGATTTATCAAAAGAAAAATTTCAAAAATTTCAAAAAATTCAGGGGTCTAGCGCTCAGGGAAATCTGGATAACGGGAAATTGTCAGAAAATTTGATCGACGAGGAAAAAATCAGGTAATTAAGAAAATTTTCTGGAATTTTAGAACTCAAAATTCGTTTTCCCCACATGTATAAATTTTTTTAGGAGCAACCAATTTCAATTTCAATATCGTGTCTGTATTTTTTCACGTGAATCTTTCAAATAACTCGCTACAACAGTTGACAAATTAACATCACGACGTATAATTTGATGAGCCAACCCGAAAGTGTTTACCCACGATATTCACCATTCATCATAAAGCCGTATTAGGAAAATATCAGTCACTCTCATTTAATCGAATAAACATCCGTCCACACCAATACCACAATAAAAAAGAGCGTGTAATAAAGAAACGTGACAATGTTGCAATTCTCAAATATAAAATTACTCGTCACACCAAGAAACAATTTCTTCCCGGAAGTAGATGTATATAACGAACCTTGTATTAGTCGTTTATTTTGATGATCTGCTACCGAAGAGTATATACTGTAACGTGTTATTTTCGTTACAAATTATCTCATGGTTTTTGTAGACCTTCGCGTGGTTTTTGGGGTTTTAGATTGGTTGCCACCAGACTTGAAGTCAAACCTACCATTCAACGAGAGTCATTTTTTTTTAGAGTGAATTTTGTATGACTGATTATTTTGTTTGTATTTGAATTTTGTACGAAATCACACGCTCAATGATTGAAGGACTTGTTGGACTACGAGGGACATCGAGGGATGATTGGCATGAACGTCAATTCCCATTTGAATTCGATAGAACCTGGAATATCTACCGAGTCACGTAAAGCTTCGAACGTTGA